ACACAATTATTCGCTCCCCCAGCCGACCAAGCGAAATCGACGCGTCGTCGATATATACACCGACTACAAGATCGCAGAACCTGAGTTATTCTACGATAACGGTACATTACGAAAAAAGGCATCCAGGCCAGTCTCGGACGGCTTCGCACGTCGCACGCCATAAGGTCGGACGCCAGTCATCGGACGCTTCAACAACCTCAGCTCGCTTCATAATGTCTGACATGTGCGTTTATCGCTACATCACGCATTTTCACGCTGGATCTAAGCAAATACCATTATCTAGCGCAATCACAAAATTTTAACAGCTAGATTATTTAGCGAAATTTTAGGAAATACTATTACTTCAAAGTGTGCATCATATATTATTGGCAACAGTTTTTTCATTTTTATATCTGAAGATTATTTGCAAAAGAATTTTTTATTTTATTAATAACAAGAACGTAGCAAAATTTGATTTGTTTTTTAGCTAAATCTGAAAAAATTATCTGATATGATTCTAACGGGAAATATGAGAGTTGGAGAACATATATCGCACAAAGTTGAATGACATAGAATAATATGGATGGACAGAAATTAAAATATGAACAAGTTTTGTAGATTTATTAGTAATTCATTAGTTTTGTGGATTTTAATACTATATTGAATTAATTTATTCAATAAAGTATTAACACATTTGAATTCGTACGATAATGCGCAATATTCGCAGTCGATATTCTTGCTACTAATCTGTATTCATAATCTTCCGATTATTATCAACCCTGTGCTATTGGCCTGCTTCTTACACAAGAAAATGATGCATGGTAGATCTCTAGGAGTTGCATGCTGTTAGAAAACGCATGAGAAATTAGCCTGAATTGTAAGTGCCGATGAAATCTGGCACGGATCGTTAACTGGCGCATCATCCATTCGTGCCGTATATTATGCGATGTGTTACGAAATTTTTTTGCCCATCGTAACCTCGTCGTTCTCGTAGCTATCTTAGATATTTATACTCGAGAAAATCTTTCGAACTACTTGTGTATGTGAAAGATACATCTACAATTAACAGTCTAATTCCAATAACTAGTGAATTAATTTTAGTTTTTTCTTTTTTCTGTTCACTACGACGGTGATTAAAAATTAGAAAAGATATAAAAGAGTTTCTATAAACGATACAGACTCTCGTATTTATCAAAATAATTGAAAAACTGCTAAAAAAAAATAACAGTAGTTTTCTCATTATTAAATGAGAAACTATAAAAGATAGTGTATTAGATTTTAGAATCATGTATATGAGATATTATTTTAAATATCTAATAGGGGGTAACATTTTTAATTTATTACAAATTTTTTTTAAGCGTTTCTTATATAAAATAAGCCGATATATTTTGGCAATGATTTCGAAAATATGGAAAGTTAAAGTTTTAAAAACTCGCCGACTATCCACTTCTTAAAATTACGATAATTCCGCTATTCATCCTACAGAGTTCAAATTTGCTTATTTTAAATACAAAAGAATTAAATATAAAATTGAATATAAAAGAATTATCTACATTTACGTATTTATTATTACTATAATTGTTATTAAATTATGATTATTATAAACAATTAAAATATTTAAAGACATTTTACTGTCACCAAAATGAAGATTAAAAAAAAATAAAAATATCACAGTTCTTTGTTAAAATTTCTATAAAAGTCATTTTTTTAGAATGGTCATTTGATATTATCTGCGTGGAAAAAAATAATTTTCGCGGCGTGGCGGCAAGCAGTGTGACGATACGTTGGTCATTGAGTCCGCTTCGTCGCCATTGTATGCACCCGTCAGTAAGTAATACATAAAAATTTCACACATACGTATGGTAAATTTTCATATAACAGAATAATAATGTTTTAATCAGATGTTTAACATAACTTCAATTTTAAAAAATTCCACATTGTTTTTTCGTACAAACTACTAATCTGTAGACTACTATTTTGTAAGTACAAATTGCACAGCTTTTATATCATACCAGGTATAATAGGTCTAAGTGTGCGAGAAATTAAAGAAATTTAAAAAGCTAATAATCAACTTTTATTTATTATAAATCAGTACAATAATGATTATAAAATTGTTATTCATATGATTGACATTATTTCTGATATTATTTCGATAATAATATATAATAATATATACGAGGGCAAGGTGAAAAGTTCTCGGCCTAGAAAGTGAAAGAATAAGTTTTTTACTTTAAAAATATATTTATTTGTAGCAGTACCATCTATGTTAAGCCGAGAACTTTTCATCTTGCCCTCGTACAATAATAACATTGTGAATAATATACGCACGCACGCACGCACGCACGCACGCACGCACGCACGCACGCACGCACGCACGCAAAAGGTATAAATTCGACCGTGCAACCTCCACTCGGTACACCTTGGGTAATGCTAATTAATGCTGGCGGTACTGTAACTTTTAATCTTCATAACTCGAGATTTACTTAATCAAAAGATACTTTATTATAAGGTTTTGGAAAGTTCTTGACATCGGCTATTAGATTCTAGAATAGAAAGTAGGATGTTTCATTTAAAAAAATCGATAACCTTGATCTTAGCAAAGCTATCCAAGGTCAAATTGATATATGATCAATAAATAGATCTTTTTAAACCCCACAACTTTGGTCTGAACATATTTTTGATTGGATCTTATCCTGCTGAGATAAAAAGGGTGGACTGGTGGTCTAAGACACCTGTATATATAAGATGAGACATTTAAAATAAGTCACCTGAATAACTCGCTTGTTTTTAACATTAAAAATGAAAAGTGCCAAACAAAAGCATGGTTTCAAGAGAGACATATTTTGATGATGTCGTTTTTCTTTTAGGTGGAAGCGTTAAAAGATATGAAAGTCACCTTTATTTTTGTAAATTGATTTGAATGATTTTTTTTACACAATATGGTTTCTCTAATTATTCTGCATATAAAAATATTAAAATAGTGATATAAAAAAATATGATTCCTCTAATTATTCTGAAATCAATAGTTTACGAGATATTTTCTCTCTCTATCTTATTCTAGCATATATTGACATAAAATATTAAATAACTATCGTAAACTATCAATTTTTTGATAATCGTATCTTAATACTTTTGTGAAGAGAATAATGAGATATGTACTAATTGGTGGAAAGAAAATACATAGTTGCTTATTAAAAAAATTATCCATATATATTTTTTAAAAGTAACTATGTGTGTTCTTTCCATCAATTGATTCATTTGATTATTTTATTCATAAAAGTATTAAGGTTATTTAACATTTTAAGGTAAAATTACTAGTTGTGGATCACTCTTTAAAAAAAATTTCATATTTCATCTAAATAATATCAAACAATTAATAAAATATGTAATAATCGTGATTGGTCAAAGATTATACAATATTATGGATGATTTTATTTTATTTCATTACCGTTTTACATGTTTTAATTTGAATCAAATAAAGTAATGACAATTATCCATAATTAGACTCATGTACTAATTGCGGATCAATTCATCAAATGTTTCATCCTTTCTTCAACTGAGCATAATGTTGATTTTTTCCATGAAATTTAATGCTATTTACTACCTACTATAAAAATTATAAGACAATTCTTATGATATTACACTTTGAATGAATTTTTAAAGATACATATATTAGTTAATCTCGTATATTTAATTAGTTAATGACATTAAAATGTGTAGTGCTGTTCCTAATAAATTAAATTCAATTGACACTTGAAAGAGATAAAACAAGTGCTAAAGACTTTTGCGATATATACCATTTAATGAAAAATATTATGATTATTTAAATACAATATAAAAAGTGATCCGAAATTAGTGCCTGATCCACAGCTAGTGGTTTTTCTCTATATGTGTATATGCCAGAATAAAATATCTCGTAAAATATTAGTTTTTGATATCACTACCTTAATACTTTTATATTCATAATAATCAGAAGAATTATATTATGTAAAAAAATTTCATACAATTCAATTTAAAAAAATAAAGATGATCTTAAAGTCTCAAAAAATATGATTTTGAGAAAAATTTCTTGATTATCATAATATCAAGTGTTTGATTATGTCGTATACCCTTTTTATCTTGGAAACAGAGCATTTTAGGAAAATACGTTTCAGACAAAAGTTGTATGGTTTTGAAGTGTACATAAAATGGTATCATTAGTTTGATCTTGAAAGTTATTTGAAAGTCATATAAATGTCGTTGATTTTTCCAAATGGTATATCCTATTTTTCATTGTATATTCTTATAACTTATCTTGAGAACTTTTCAAAATACTGTAATAAAATATTTTTTTATGAAGAAACTTTTTAAGTTATAAAACTCGAAAGTCTCAACATTTTGACAAAATACAAAATATCTTGTAAAACAATAATCTCCAATTTGATCTTGATAAATGTTATCCAGGATATAATCCTGAACAACATTCAAGAGGTTTTAGCCATCGATCGGACTTATTACATAATGCTAATGCCGATGATACTGTAACTTTCAAGTCTTATAACTCAAAAAGTTTTTAATGAAAAAATATTTTATTATAGTATTTTGGAAAGCTTTCGAGATAAGCTACAAGAATATAAAATGAAAAATAGAGTGTATTAGGAAAAATCAATGTGATCATATGACTTTCAAACATCTATTCAAGGTTAAACCAATGACACCATCTTATGTACCTCGAAATCATACGACTTTTATCTAAAAAATATTTTTCTAAAATGCTCTCTTCCCGAGATAAAGGGGGTGTACGGGTGGTCTCTCAGATATATATGCCTCTTCGAATCGAATAACTTTCTCTTTTCGTATTTTCTCGTATCTTCATTAAAAATAAAGGAGATATTTTAGATGATCAAGAGAAAACACCTATATATATTTATTGTATTATTATGGATAGTAAAACTCTTATAACTATAAAATATCCTTATTCCGATGATTGTATTTTATTTTTTTAATCAATATAGCGCTGCATTAAATTTTTGCGTCTACAGAAACAAATAAGTCATCAACAACCGAATGAAGTAAAGAGCTGTCCGTAAATGATGAAATATACGACCAAATGAATATCAATATCAATTGTGGTGTCCGATGCCTAAAATTGAACGATGATGACGATGGCGAAGAAAAAAAGAAGTAAAATTTTCTTTGGATTCGATCATTGATCCGTCTTGGCGACAAGCCCGATGAAAAACAGGATGCGACTGGAACCGGACGTAACGAGTTTGGCATACATAAACAGTTCCAGAAACGAAGGAAACATCTCGGTTATTATCATTGTCGTATTGCAATGATTTATACCTTATTAGCATCAAAATAATATTGTTTGGCACACTTTTTCAAATCAACTGTTAAAATAATCATTGTAACAGGTACTCAGATAGCAACGTATCTGTCTTGTTGCTGGCATATTGCTTAACAATAAACATGTGTTGCTACTAGAATTGCAGCAATTGAATTCTCATTTGTTGGCAGCTTGATGTCTTCAGAATATAATAACTTTAAGTTACAATTTGCTAGTAGTTTACCGCCAACTTTAAAATCGTCATCATCAAAATTTGTACTATTGTCGTAATGCCATCGTAATATCATCGTTGCCATAATAATATACAGCATATAATGCTGTCATATTACCGATAATACAAGATAACATTGATGCAGCTTGTTATTAAATTGTTGGCAACACATATACACATTGTTGCCTACGTGTTACTACAATGTTGGTATATACGAAATCGTTAAAGACAAATTTATGGCAAGTTGCCATAAATGTATGCCAATAATGGATTTGTGCAATTATGATGAAACACGCTTTGTTCTCTGGGTAGCCATTAAACTATTATTATATTTTATTATTATATATATTTATTATTATATTTTATTATTATATATATAATATTTTAGTCCATAAAGAGGAAGTTCGCGCTTTTTGCAACAATCTAGGATTTCATAATGTAATTTAATTATATATATATATATATATAAATTTTACAAAACAATGAAGATCAATATTGATCAATTCTTCTGTTATTATCACAAAATGCTACATGTATGTATTGTAAACAGCGTTTGCGGAGTTCATAAACTCAGCTACATTATCTGACTTGAGTAACCTCTCTCTCTCTCTCTCTCTCTCTCTCTCTTTCTCTCGCACGCGTGCGCGCTGAGTACTTATATACACGCTGCATTGCGGAATTAAAGCACATTTTCCATTCCACAGAAATAATATTTGAGAAACTAGTTCATGCTGAAATTCATATTGTTGGCATATTGTGCGCGTGTTCAGCATTTTTACGTTGAGTCTTCAATTTCAATTGACCGCGTAAATCGGCGAATAGAGATTCACCGTGCAATCATTTGCAATTATCGCAAACGCGTCATCATCCGATGTCTTCCATCTGACTCAGCTTGGAAATTGAAAAATCAGTAATCCGTTATCGCTTTCTTTTTTTGCTCGCTCTTCCTCTCCTCCTCCCCTCTCTCTCTCGATCATATTTTGCATTAAATACAATTTACAATAATACAATAACAGCTAGAGACGATTAAACGAATCTGCCAGTAGCAATGGTTACACCAGTCACAAAATATTGATCGTTATTGGCAGAAGATCATTTGCTTCTCATATACATATTATATGGCGATGTACATACATACGTCAGGTATTGAAACAATAGACCATACCTCGTCCTCCTCTGATTCAACTGCCATTCAGTTTCCTCCTTCACGCCTCGCATCCTGTAAGAGAGATGGCTCCTGACCAATCCTCTCTATGTCAGTGCACGCTTTACCTCCGTGCATAGTACTTTGTTTGAACTTCGTGTCGTATTCCGCTCAACGCTCCGTTTTATTTAAACAAACAATTTCTTAAATTACTTACTCTCAAATTTTTATAAACTAAATAATAATTCTTAAATTATTTTTCTGATATAAATTATTAACTTTGTGTATATTGTGTATATAACATGTTATATATTACAATTACACTTTATTTTCTCCAATATGTTACAAATAGAATATTTAATACAAACGAGGGGGCTAACTTTTCTTTTAAAATCTCTTATTCCAATCTTTGTAAAGGAATAAATTAATGTGATTATAAGAAACTTTGAACTGCAGTCACATTTTTGACAAGCAGAATTTTAGTCGTTCGACTATCAGGGGTTGATGTGGAGAGATTGTTACTCACGATGAATGCGGAGGAAGCTAAAGTGGGTTGCTTTCAAATGGTGTTAGTGTTGCTACTCGGAATAAACTATGTCATCGTCGCCATGAGTCACGGACTGTCGGTTTTTCATAATTATACGCCAAAATTTTATTGTCAGGTAAGATAGAGTATAAACAGGAGGCTCGAAAGAAATTAAAAATTTTTATTTATTTTTTTATATCTGTGATATAAGTCACAGCTATTATCTTAATTCAGTGAAATATGCATAGGATGACATAGGTCAATCAAAAAGAAATTGGAAGAAGTTTATGAAGGAAGGAGTGTAAAAATGGCTAAAATTGAATGGATACCTTTAAAATTTATGTAGTTGTTATTTTGAAAGTTCGTACGTTCATGGAAAAATGTTTATTTATCCAAGAAAGTTTCGGAAACCTTCCAAAAATAATAAAATAGATCATTTAAACGCATTGCAAAAAACTCATTTTGTTTTTAAACGATGATTTCAAAATTAATGGTGCGTTTACATTTAACATAAGTTGGATCATGAAATACTATAAGAATACACTACCAGGAAGATTTACAAATTATATAT